GGGCATCTCTTGCCAATGTTGAAGAGCAGTCTGACGCTCCATGCAACGTTGTTCACTGCACTAAACTTGACAACCAAGCACTATGAGAGTTTGCATGCCATTGCTTCAGGGATGTGCAATGTACAATGTACAAGTTTCAGATTCTCTGAAAACCAGGCCTGTCGATAAAAGGCTTATGCTATTGGATTTGTTGGAGCCTTTTTCCTTTGGAGCCAGAATGTTTGCAAGTTGGAACCTTTTTTTTTTGTGGTCGGAATGCATTTGCTGCTTGATCGTTGACTTGCTACTGCCATGCTTCCAGAACCACGAGCCCATTTATGACCAAATTCAGAAGGGTGTCGCTTGCCAATGTTGAAGAGCAATCTGACGATGGAAAGCCAAAGATTCTCTGAAGACTCTTGAAACTAAAACAAAAATCCACCAAACGGTGAGACGATTCCTTTTCAGATTTTGACTGACTTCGTTGAAGGCTTGATTGCCGATGATCTGGTTCGACAAATCTCAGAGATGAAAGGGATGTACTTTCCTGTGCTACAAACGTGCTACAGGTTGCATGCTACAAACGTACTTTGCGCATGTGCTTAACTACATTACATGTTCACTGCAGTTGGCATGCACTTCCCAATGTATGTTTCATATCTTGGTGGTTCTCTGGCACTACCAGGGAATTCTCTCAAACGGCTAAATGTCTTTCTCAATGTCTTTCACTTTCCCTAAAAGAACCGTTGTTTCAACCATACCTACACCCTCCCGAGGCAATTATTATTGCCGTAACGAAGTTGCAGGTATACTGTAGCTCAGCCGGCTCGCGCTGTTTCAAAGGTATGAAGAATATGGCACGGTGGTGCCCTTCGTCCTGTTGGCCCCGGCGTACTTTTCGGGCGCCTTAGACCTGGGAAAGCTCATGCAGTGCCGTGGCAGACTGAGACAGAGTGAGACGGGGTGAAGTGTTTGATATAGAAGCTATGTGGTTTGGTCTTGTTGATGCCCCCAAAAAACTCTACAATCATTTACAATAATCATGTACAAAGATTGTGATTTATGCTGATTCTACCTTCGATGGGTTTAACACCAATATATATATATATATATTGCACACCTTCGATGTGTCTTTTCTCCGATCCAAGATCTCTCCGGGACGGGCGGGACCCGGTGGACCGCATGGAGTCTGGACTCGGGGTCCACCCCGCGGCGTGCGCGGACGGCTGGGCCATGCTGGGCCCCGTGGACCGCTGAGGCTCCGCATGATCGTGGAGCGTGTGTCCCAGAGTTTGACCTTTCCAGTGGCAGCTTATGAGCAGGAGAGAGGGAGGTGAATTCGGGGGGAAAGAGCATGAATGAATGCCATGAATTCGTGTGGACATTTTGTTACATCATGTTACATCAACTAAAATCCAAGTTGAATCTTTGATCAATGATGGCCTATGATGGGCTATATAGCTATTTTCTTCCCCTGCCACTCGTGTTTCGTTTCGGTTTCTTCCCGCCAGGCTGTCGGTTGGCGCGTGGCGGCCAACCGCTTGGCCGCCTTGGCAGCCGCCACGTCCGCGGTGGCGCCGCCTTCTTCGGATTCCCCGTCCGCGCCGGGGCTGGGGAGTCCGTCGGTCCTGCGTGTGGAGGGTGTCGACTTGAAGACGCCCCAGGGGAGGCGCAGGGGGGTGCAGCGGGGGCCCGCGGCGCTTCAAGAGAGAGGGCCGCCGAGGCCTGGTTGATTGGTGTTGTGTGTTTGGATTTGGAAGGGGGGGGGGTTCGATGGTTGAATAGGACGTTTTGGTGCTGATTTGGTGGAGAAAGCCGTACAAGTGGGCTGGAAGTGCAGTCGGACTCAGAGACCCCCCACTGGAGTCACTGGCAGAGATTCTGACAGCTCTGCCAGATAGTGCAGCAACATGAGTATGAGTAATGTGACGAGCTTACACCATTTAAAGGAGGCCAATAGGATGCCTCCACATCGTCACTCATGGACTAAAAAACGGCTTAAAATGAACATACTAAAGTGACTCAACTGGAACCACAGTCAACATCAATCCTCGACTCAACTGTATAAGCAAACCTGTGGAACAACACAGTTGGAGTCAAGATCAGCTTCCCAGCAATTCTGGGACATTCCTCCAGAGAGGCTCCTTCTGGAGAATGTGAATCTCGAAGTATCTCCTGGAGAGCGGCTGCTGCTGGTGCTTCCAGCCTCTGGCGGGAAGTCCTTGCCATTTGGCCCAGAGTCGGCCATGAGGCAAGAGAACGGAGGTGAGGCGCCGTCCCGAAGAAAAGGAAGAGGAACATCACCCATCGTTCCTCACAGAAAGGTTCAATATCAGGTATTATTTCTAAAATCAGCCTCTTTATGTGTGTGGTGTATGGACTATAGCCACACCATGCTAGGCCTATGTTGGAGTCTATGTTGGAACCCATGTTGGAACCCTTGGCCTTGATATAAAAAATGCTGGGCCTATGTTGGAGTCTATGTTGGAACCCATGTTGGAACCCTTGGCCTTGATATAGAAAATGCTAGCTAGGCCTATGTTGGAACCCTTGGCCTTGATATAGAAAAGGTCACATTGCATTCACACTATTCACAAGGTTATCTATTTTATCTCAGACCTGCGACGTGGACACTCTCACACACAATCAACCACCCTTTTCACTCAAGCCACGCCCGGCATGCACTCCATATATGAGTTCAAGTTTAACCCTGCTATCTAGCCGGCCATGATTCATTTACCGGCTAAACAGCAAAAACTGCATGGGTGCTTTCTGGACACATTACCTCGATTTGTTCGGCTTTGGGCACAAGCATTGCTCAAATGCCAAACCGTTCCACTTGGAGTGACATACACTGTTTTGTTTGAAAATGGAACAGGGTCTTCCTGCCAAGAGCTGCTCTGCTGATCCGCACGTTCCTTCTGGGAAATCACTCTGACATCCTCGTAGTCACGCTGCAAGTCCTTCAAGGCCTTCTCTAATTGGTGTTTTTTCTCGCTCAATCTCTTGGCACCGCTTGCAGTCAAAATTACCTGTAGAAAAGGGAGTGTCACAGGTGTCAATCTTGTCAGATCGTGATGGTTGGCTGCTCCCAACCAAGCTCCCAAACTGTGAATTGGAACATTTCGATACCAGCATTCCAACAAGGACTCCCAAAACCAATGTCACCACAATATTGGCAATGTAAGGCGGCAACAAAAAGAAGATGGTCATTGCACCTCCCCCCCTCCACTCCCGCCATCGCTACCAAGTTTGGAAAGAGGATGATGGTGGGAACTGAACTGTTGAGCCTCGCCAGAAGCTGCATCAACAATCACAACATTCAACAGACGTGACATGTCGTTGGTTTTTTTTCCAAGACTCATGATCCAACCCTCACCTGCCATGCAAAACAAAAACATGTTCTGATTATTAGCATCGACAACAAACTGTGGCCAAACCCAACACCACAACCACTGGACCGTGGTTGTTCTTGGGTTGATAGCTGTGTGTTTTTTTCAGACGCCAATTTTCAACACAAACACGTCACAGTCACCTTCCTGGACACTAAAAAGTATCCTCTTGAAGGAAAAAGATCCGTCTCAGACTGCAGCAGTGTGCAGAGTGCAGTCTATTTGCAAGCAAGATGGGGTCGCGGTTGGCTGTCTCAGCACAAAATTCGAAACAAGTGTGAATTGATATCGAAAAGAACACTGGCACTGGAGAACTCACAAACACCTCAACAGCCACAAAAACAATACAGTTCAGTTCAGTCACAGTCACTGTCCCCTGAGTAGTTGCACCGGAACACATCCAACCAACCCATCACGGACATGTGACATATTAACTCATGCAATATCCTCATCCTCGCTACTTGCAATAAGACGAGCTCTTTTTTGGGGTTTGCCCCTCACCAAAAACAAAGTTTCCGAGCCACTGCTTTCAGAAAAGGGGGGTTCCGATCCGAGGTCCGATCCCTCATCAGAATCAGAGGCGGCAGCCACGCTGGGCTCAGGTGATTCAGGCTTCACCATGCTCCAAACTGTCCTCGAATCATCAGTACAGAACCTGACCCGGACCTGGACCCCTCATTCTTTGTACTGTATAGATAGATAATGTGAGATATTTATCCGTATCTAGTTCAATCCAACGTGCACGTGACTTGTGGGGCAAGTGGACTGGCGACTCAATCTGCCAAGCCGAGCTGCCCTCCATCGCGTCCCAGAGGGAGTACATAGATCAAGAGCGCCAATATACAAGCGCCACATACGGACGCTGTCATAGAGTTTCCTTCATGGAGGGCGCAATTCTGTCGGTAGTTGTACTCAGGAAAATGCACAGGCTCAGTCAGTCAGTCTGCTCAATTGTCAGCATCCACAGTGGCAGTATCATACAAAAGTCTGCAACATGTGTGTTTTCAATGGAGACTGCACTGCGAATCATTAGTTAGTTGTTTGTTGCTTGCCTGCCAACCGAGTCAACCCAGCATACTGCATAGTTTCTGGCCACTCAAATTGAGCTGGGTCAAAGCCTTGACCGACCAACAGCGCCTCGAAGAGCAATACAATACAATCGTATAAGTTGCAAGTTGCAAATCAAATTGTAGATGTAGATGAGTAGACAGTAGACTGTCGACTAGTAGATTAGGTGATGATTACAATACTTTAGAGCTGATGGTTTGCAACTACTCAAACTCAAATTCCCAAAATGAGAATTGAACAGCATCCTGCATCCTTTTTGAATCGCATTGTCGCATCAAGCTCATCAAACCGCAAGAAGAGTCAAAATCATCCCCAATGAAGCTATGATTTGGTGGCAGTTGGGCAGTCCATTGGACTCAGGAACCTGCACAGCTTCAAACCCCTGTGCCATGGGTCATGGCGTGAAAGTTGGCAAAGCGGCCAGTGGCCAGCACCTACTTGGACTTTTTTTACCTTCTTGGACCGGGCTTCATCACCATGAGAAGACCTGGTGTGGCCCTTGTTTTTGTCCTTCTCCTTGTCCTTTTTGCTCCGTTTCTTCTCACTCTCTTCTTTCACACTGGCCGCATTGGAATTTCTCTTTTTCTGGTGTTCCTTCTTGCTTTCAATGTCGGTCAGGTGTGACTTCACTGCCGCTGGAAGGTCAGCTCTTCCCAATCCGAAATGCTTTTGGGTGTACCTTTCGTTGGATTGGAGCATTGCTGAATCACACCCTTGCAATGTGGCTGCGTCACACCAAATCAACAGGTTTGCCAGCTGGGATCCTTCGCTGGCACACTTTTGGACACTCACCTTCTTTGATGAAGCTGCTTGAAAGACACCCTTCAGTGCGTCAGACGCTGTGACATGCTGCACTAAACGTGAAAGCAAGTCATCAAAGATCAATCCATCCTTCCGGGCAGCCTTCAGGATCTCGATGTGCTTCTTGATGTCTTCTTCGGAGCCCTTGTCAAACATCCACCCAACGCTCTCCAAGCTCCCGGACTCAGCTGCTGGAGTCAGATCCTTGAACTCATTGTTGAACTTCTCGAAGGGTTCCTGGACAAGCCCAGCCTCCTGGTTGAAGGCATTCTGGAGGGCCACGACGAAAGAGTCACAATAAGTCTTGCAACTCTCAAGGGCCTTTGAAAGAGCTTCCTCCTCTTGGAGGGTCCTGGACTGCATTCCAGAATACGCGGACTCAAAGGTCTGGAGCTTGAACATCAAGTCAGCAACCTTCTTGTTCTGCAGAAAATCCAATTCCACCTTCCAATCACGTTGAAGTGCATGCAGAATTGATTGCATCTCCCTGGAAAGGCACGTCAGGAGACCATCTTTGGGCATTTGATTGCCATCGTTCACAACTCCAAGCACCACTTTCGCAGCACAAGACGCTTGCAGCCTTTGAAGCATTTTCTTCACAGCAATTGCAGCTTTCATGGCCGCTTGAGCAAGTTCCGAAGAGGAGCCGTTTGTCAATGCAACGCATGTTGGGAAGGCATTGCAAGCATTGAGGCATGATTTTGAGAACTCGGCGAGCTTCAACAAATGGTCGCCCTCCCCCGCCTGAAGTTCTTTCTGCAGAACAACTACCCTGTTCATCCATTCTGCCAAGACCCCACAGCTTGCAGGCAAGGGCAAATCCACTGTCTCCTGCTTGGAATGGAAAAAGCCTCAGGTGGCTCAGACAAAAGAGCGGCGGCAGGACGATCTTGAACATCTGAGCCGAAGCCCTAGGCCCTAGGTATGACATTCATAGGGAAATGCATCAACAATCATAATTGGAGCCATCAGCTATCAAAGAACTGAAGACTGGAGTGCTGAATTGAATGAATGACTCAGTGACTCAGACTAAGTTCTAGTTCTATATAATTGAACGAGTCTCAGTCTCAGTCTCAATTCTCTTCTGTCACGTTAAATCACCGCCAAGTGACAGCGAAGAAGGAACTGTTGGTCAACTGCCGATGGCACTGTAGGCCCATTCCCAGTGTACATCTCGGCCGCAGCTTGCAAGCCCGCATTCTTGGCTTTGAACTCTTCGCTCACGTGCTCTTCAATCGCCCGTATGGTCTCTTCAAACTTTGTGTGAAGTGTCTTAGCCACCCATGCGCATAACTTGTCTTGCGCAGTCTGCAAGCTTGTCAAGGCTTGAGAGGCGTCATCAGAGTCAGACAAATCCTGCCCACCTGTGGCTGCATTGAGCTGCCTGAGAACACTTGGGATTGCTTCGAAGGACTGGGCAACTTTTTCCTTGATTTCATCCAGTGTTCCAGGTAGCTCTCCGCTTTCTGTAAGCTGCATCATCAAGATGTTGTCTGCAGCATCCACCAACTCGCGGGCTTGCTTCACAAGCTGCAACACCACAGTCTGGTCCTTGCCGAAGGTCAGCAATTTCTGCCAAAGTCGCCTGAAGCATCATACAAAAGCTGACTGACAATCTTTGTCCTTGACATTCTATAGGGATGGCCAATGGCACAGTGCATGGAGCATGTTATGTATTGGTTATTGGACAGTGTTCAAAACAGCAAGAATCAGTCGTCAGATTGCACAGCTGGACTCCGGACTCCCATTTTGAAGTTCGATTCAAGCTGACTTAACTGGTACAACACACACAACTTTAACATCAGTTCACAATTTTAGGGTGTCCCCCGTCCCATGAGCCTCCATTCGCTTTGAGCATTCATTGGTGTAACCACTGGTGTTGAGAATGATGAATGAGCAGCTGCAACGGCACACAAGTACCCGGAGTTGAGCGATGGCTCCACCGGCTTGCTCTCAGATCGCTTCATGTCTAGGCAAGCAAAGACTCGTTGCAGGTCAACGATCACAGAGGCACTGTAGCCCAACTCACATTTGTGGCCGTCTGCATCAACCTCTCCCTTGCCGGGCTTGGGGAACCTGGCTTGGGCTTGGGGCATCAGATGAATCTGGAAATGCAAAGTGCCAAAGTCAAAGTGGCAAAACGTACCAAAAATTAATTTGAAGACGGAATAACTGGGAACAAATTGACCAGAGCAAAGGTTGTGCCCTAATCTACCAATGCCTAGTGCTGCTAAGCCGCCACATTTTGTCATCGAGGAAGCTAGATGTCTTCAACCGAAGAGGCAGGTGTGATGTGGCAAACTCCAGAGCATCTGAACAGCGAAGCTTGTCGAAAAAGTTGTCTGAAATTGCTGCCACCTGGGCCCTGAGCAAGTGGCCCAGCAGCAGGTTTCTGCCAGTCCCTGGCGGCTGGAGTTCCAGGATCTTTGCAAGGCCAAATGTGCAGCGGCCGCCGCCCTTCAGGTCAAGGAAATCCCAGAACAAATAGTCCGGTGCCTGACATGGGAGTGTGTGTGTGTGTCTGTGCACTGGAGTGTATGTAGTTGAGTGCTTTGTGGGAGTGCGTTTGTAACTCAGAAACGGACGGACTTATTATATAAAACAAAACATAAAAATAATATAAATTACAAAAAATATAAACCATAGCTTTAGCCTTGGACTCTGTGTTGTCATCATTATTTGTCAAGTCGGTCGGTTTGGGAAGTTCAGACCTGCAACAGTCCTACTATACCCGGACCCAACCCGTTTTCTTCAAAGCTTTTTTTGACACTTGCAAACCAGGTGCATCAACCAATTTCCTGGCACTGAAGGCAATCATGTCCATGAGAATGTTGGGCTGAGAGATCAGCTTCTCCCCACAAACCTCCACATGTGCCCACAGCTCAGAGCCTTGATGGATCTCAGTCGCAAGAGTGGCAGGCTCACTGCCACGAAGAAGCCTGCAAGCTTCCTTCAATGCACTCGCCTGCTTGGAAGCAGCTGCCATGCTATCTTCAAGCTGGGTCGCTCGATCTTCCTGGGCTTTCTCTATTTTGTCAGTGGCCCGAATCTTTTGAAGGTCTCCCAAAGCAGCAGTGGCCTTGGTCAGCCGTCTGTCAAGCTCAGTGCCCCGAATGAGGGACTTCCAAACGGCTTCTCCAGTCAGTTCGGTCAGCTGTTGAAGGGTTTTCTGGTGGTTCGCCAGCGATGTGTCAATCCGGACCTTGAGCTTGGATTCCTTTGTAGGGCCGGTAGCGGCGGGAGCCGCTTTCACCTTGGGTTGCCTCGGCTTCTCACCCTTCTCAGTCTTGTCATTCGACTCAGGCTTCTCAATCTTCTCAGAAGATGGGGCCGCACTACCTGCAGCCGCGGAGGAGGACTGATTCTTGGGCTTCTTGGATCGCCGGCTGGGGCCCTTCTCATCCTCCTCCTCGTCGTCCACACATGGGACTCCTGGTCACATCCAACCTACTACAGCGCAGCATGTAGTCTATATGACTCGACCTATTAAGGTATATGGTATGGTATGGTCCAGTATTGGGCCGTCGGCCTCATAGCCTTTAAGCAGCAGCCGCCTCAGCACTAAACTGAGACTGCTTATAGTGCCCACAACCTACTGTCGGCCTATGACTGTGGCTTGACTACGACCGTGAGCTGTCAGAACAAACAGCAAACCACAAGCTGTTGCTAAGCATACCTCCTCCAAGGTTCCAAAAGAACTGGTGGAAGAGTCTGAATCTGAAGACGAGCCGGACACATCGCCTGAATCGTCACCACCTGCAACCTCCTTCAAAGCATTCTCAATGTCTTCCTGGCAAGCATGTTGGGTTGGACGGACGGTTTAACAGTAACAGTTAGATAGACAGTCAGACAGTCAGACAGGACATAGACAAACAATTTAGCAAAGCAAAGGATTTGACAAAGCGTGGTCAGTAGTCGTCTCATTTGACATTTGTTTACTGATCTACTGACTGCTCCGAATGTTTCCAGAAAGAATCGACTTGACAGACAACAGTCAACAGTTGACAAACAAAGTGACAGACTGCAAGAGCTAAGGACTCTGACTCAGAACAGCAAACATGAAATCAAGCACACAGTCACAGCAAAAAGAAATTGGCCCAGCTAACCTCAAGAGTAATTTCACCTACTTCAATCGACCGCAGAACATTTTCCTCACGGCCCCGATCACGCCTTGGCATTGGTCTGAACTTCCATGGCTTTGCGCACTTCATTGAACCGAGCCTTGCTAGCATGCCTGTCTACCTGCTCTTCTTCCCTTGTTCTTTTTGCGCTGACACGCTGTCCAGACAACATTAATGTTTTGTCATGCACAGGCACACATTCCTGCCCATCAAGATCCTTTACGATCTTCAACTTCAGAGTCTCCTTCACAAATCTCCGCCGGTCCTTGAGTGTCTTGAATCGCACCTGCGTTGGGTTGTTCTTTGGGTCATCTGTGAACTGCCTCAATGGCACCAACTGGGATACCTGACAGACTGGTGGCATGGCCACACAGCAAAGCCACACAGAAAGAAAGAGCTTGAAAACAACATGTGGTCTAGGGACATTGGAGGGGCAAACAAGTTCTGATGGCAACATGGCCATGGCAATCTGCGGCATTTACAGTAAGCAGGCTGTCCAAATCTACCTCTGTGACTTACTGCTAGACGGCTAGACTGGACTCCAAATTTTGACCCGACCCTTTCCCGTTGCCTGTTGTATATCCACGTAATCCTGTTCCTCCTTCTTTATCAATTCTTTTATGTCATACTTGGTGTGCTTGGGCTTGCGCTTGGGAAACAAACATCGCTCCTTGACTTTCTCTGCACGGGATGTGAAGAACCTTGGGCGCAAGCACAGGTCTCATGAGTCCGGCTATGTCAAGCCATGAGTGGGATGGCATGATGGAAATGGCAGGGAGGCTCATAAGTTAGTTACATCAGTGATGTGACTTCTGCTTTTCGACACTTGTTTACCGAAGGCTTTTTGGGGTTGGTCTTGAAGGTCTTGCTTTTGGTGGAGTCTTTGGTTAAATGTTAAATCCTGTCAAATTGAGTCCATAAGTGTCCCAGTCCCAGTCTTGTTTGTTTGTTCCAGTCTGTAACTGTAGCTAAGTCAATCTAGTCACTGGTCCACAGTCTGTATCAGAGTGTCAAATGACAGATCGTTTGATCGTCTAGTGAAGTCAAGTCAGCTTCACAGGTCACAAAAGCCAGGAGGCTTCTCAGAAATAGTTGGGTGCTCGTCCATTTTGGTCTTGAGGTCATGAGCCTTAACACCTGGAAATGATCCTCTTGCACTGTAAAAGCATGCGGAGCAAATCACGGATCGATCTTTGCACCGACACACCAGCACATCATCGTGCCCGTCAGGGCGGTCCTGAGTTGCAACAATATGGATTTGGATCCATTTACCAAGTTCATTCCTGCAATTCAACCACATCGGACTCACTGACACTATCACCATGCTGCAGTGTCACTAGGGTAGCCGGATAACGGATGACAAAAAATACTCGTACTACTGAAAACTAAGGTTACAGGTGTGGTGCCTGGGCCTGGAACTTTTCTTTTGTGTACCAGTGCCTGGTCCCTGGTTGTGAAATGCCATTGCTAGCTGCCCGCTACAGCTGAATGCATCCAAGATGCTTTGTCTGGCTGGCCAAACTGCTGCCCACAATGGGAGCAACAGTCTCCCTCTTCTGCATCTTCGACTGTATCTCCCCCCATCAGTCTAAGGCTGGAGGACGCAGCCCACGAGTCTGATTCAGATCAGATTTGATCTAACTAATGGTGATTTGGCGCTGGCAGCTGGCAACAAAAAAAGATTGTCTGAAAAAGAGACTGCAAGGAAAAATCTGTCATGAGTCAGAGTCTTAATGTTAACTGTCAAATGTTATTCAATTTACATCGTCAGGCTTTTTGGTGTCCATTTGTGCTTGTTTGTGTGTACTCTGTATGCTGTATGTGAAAAAAAGGACGCTTACTAAAGTCAGACTTCCTCTGAATGGTTGTTCAAAAAAAGAGCATTAGCTCAGAGTCGCTGTCACTTCAGTCGTGCGGCAGTCAGTCTGACCACAACTCTCACTCTCACTATCTCTCTCTCTCTCTCTAGGCTCTAAATCTAGTCACGGTGACGGTGAGGGTTTGGAGACAGCAGGCCAGGCCTCCGCCGGAAGGAAGGACTCTCTTCCTACATGGAAGAGCTTCATCTGTGTACAGAATGCGGCTCCATATCCTCTGTAGTACACTCCCATTGAATGAGTACTACTTCCTGAGCGCAAGCTTGCTGGATTGAATGTCACACTTGAATGCCTAACGCGTGCTGCACCACAATGCAATGCTGTAACTTTCTTTACCTTACTTAGGCCTTTCCATGCCTCCCTGCAAGCGCTGTGTGCCATTTACTTTCCTTACCGCTTGACTGCTCTCAACGCACTGGCTGTACAACTAAGCCCCAGTCTGGCCACGTCAATGATAGCTTTGCGGGGATTCGATTCTTTCGCCTCAGCTGCTGTGGCGAAGTGGACCTGGATAGGGATAGGGAATTAGTAATTAGTAATTAGCAATGATGGGAAACGATGGTCCATTACTTGAGGTAGCGCTGCACGGATCAGTAATCAGTATTGTTATTCTAGTAGTAGTAGTCTCGTCGTCGTCGTCGTCGTCAGTCAGTCTTCATCAGTAATTATTGCCAATTTCAAGAGCCCTTCAAAAATACTGTTAGGAAAAGGATTCTGGGGATTGGAAAGATGGACCGATTGACCGACTGACCTTCCTAAAGCATACTACGAATAGTCTATAGTCTATAGCCTATTACTATGACTATTACTATTAGTATATTAGCGAATATTATGATATGATACGATAGCCTGGGCTATGTGAAACAACAACAAATCCTGCGGAAGTTGAACCTATTAGGTTGCTTAGCATGGTAAAGCTTCAGCTTTGACTCTGAGCGATCGACCTTCAACACTCAGACAGACAGACAGACAGACATGACAGTCACTCATATCAGCTGCAACCCGGAACCGGTTAATTGAAGGGCTAACAAGAGAAACCAACGGCTTCTTTCTTACTTCTTACTTCAACCAAGGTTCAACTAAGACTATGACTATGCTATGCTATGACTATGAACGATCAACATCTAGTCAGAGTCACTATGTGCTAACTATGGTCGCTTCAATGACGATGACTATGAGACCAGTATTGTAAATAGTTATAATTATAATTATGACTCAATGACTTTGTAAAAGCGGGAGGTCTATTTTACGATCATACAATCACTACAGTCACAAGTATACAAATAATAACTTAACTATAACTATAACTAACTATAACTACAAGACAAGCTATACAAATACAAATACACATATCAAATACACTCAAACCTGTGTTTTAAAAGACCGTTAAAAGAATTGAACAAGGATATATATATATAATAAATATACATAATATAATAGTTACAAGTTGTAAGTTGTAGTTATCATAAGTTCGAAGTTCTCTAAGTTCTAAGTTTAAAAAGTTAAGTTATACGTTATAAGTTATAAGTTACAAATAAACTATAAGTTATAAGTTATGTTATAAGTTGTAAGTTATAAGTTATAAGTATAAGTTGGGTACACGTGAACGGTTCTGAACGGTTCACCTCTACTGCTTATCCTTGTAGTGCGAACGGTTCAGAACGGTTCACATGGTGCGAACTATTGCGAACGGTTCAGAACGGTTCAGTACGGTTCACTCAGACTGTGTATGTTTAAGGTTTGTGGCATAGTGAACGGTTCTGAACGGTTCACTTGTTCACTATATGATGTGCTGATTTCGGGGCTTATCAGCTTTCAAATTCATAGTGTAAAGTAAGTTAAGTTAAAAATTTACTTTTATTTATATGTTACACATTTGACTTAAGTCAAGTTTGAAGTGATTATTTATAATATACGACACGTTGATGACCTTGGATGAAGAAAACTTAACAAATATAGTAGTAGTAATAGAATATGTAATATGCAATATTCTCTCTATGTCAAGAAGATCCTGCAGCCTGCAATCTTGACAAAACAACACACCGTAACACGCCAGTATAGATAGTAGTAATAGTACCAGTACTGTAGGCAACAAATTAGCCAACCATGACTTGACTCAGAAGTGGGAAAGAAAGGGAAATAGAAAGACATCGGAAGACTGAAGACTACCTTTGAGCCTAGTCTCAGCCAGCTTGGCACACTCTATGTCTAGCTTCGTGAGCTCTCTTGAATTGAACCGTTTCCCAGGCTCCTCCTCATACTTCTTGCTACAAAAGCCGCCATCCTCAATGCCAAAAGCAATCTTCATGGCCGCGATCTTGACAGCTGCACTGCTCTGGCCCGGCTTGGGGGGGTTTGTCCTGCCAGTGGACAGGTGTGCAGAAGGCAAAACTTGAGAATACAGCCTCCAGCCTTCAGTTCTGCACACTGCAAAAAGCAAAAGGAAGAAGAGTGCTAGGGCAGCCTAGGCAGCCTGCTATATAGCCCGGAACAGGTGTGAACCGTTCTGAACCGTTGTGAACCGTTCGCTACAGTTCACCTGCCCTCTGAATCATGTGTAAACTGATGTTGGAACCCATGTTGGAGTCCATGTCAGGAATTTACAGGTTGGAAGTTGGAACTTTTAACAGTCTGTAATTGTACTAAACTGGCTGCCAGCTAGGGATACACAAGTTACTGGCACTTTGAAGGGTTCATGGACATATGGACGCTTGACACTGTGTAACTAACAGTGTAATTGTAATTGTCATGGTTTGTTGCCCGGCCTTGGACTTCTCTGGCAGGTGGTTCTTGTCCAGGTTCTGTTCACAATATGCCAAGCCTTGGGAAGTTCAAGTGCCACACACTCCAGAAACGGTGTCATTGAGTGTGTTTTTGTTGATTTAGAAGATTTCGAGCTGCCAGGACATCATATCAATATATGATATATCATACGTCCTGTCAAATGTCATATGTGAAGTACAGTACGTCAAAAACATAATGACAACGATAACTATAACTCACGCCGACTCATGCCACTATACAGCTGAGTAGAGACAGCGTCAGTGTGAGGTCTAAGTTCTATATAGCGTGTGTCAAACAAAAAGCAACTATGACTATGAGTTCAATCGACCACAAACAAGTTGCAATCATTCAGGCTCATCCGCCTATGAATTCTTGGGCATTGCTTGGTTATGAACAGCTCCATCTCGTCCATGGAGTTCACATTGCAAATATCCTTTCGGATCCCAAGCATGTAAACTCGTTTCCTGGCATTCGGACTTCCATAGTCCTTTGACCTCACTGGATATGCAACGTAACATAGTTGTCATCTGTCAAGCACAGTAGCAGTAGCACCCAAAGAACTCAAGTTTGTTTAGTATGTATCAATGTACGTAAACGAAGCGTTGATGTCTCATCTTGTGAGATGTGTGGATTACCAAAAATGGTCTCCAATACCAACACTGATACCCTTCACCTGGACCACATAAAACAAAAGGCGCACAATGGAAGCAACAAAGCATTTGCCACATTTGCCTTCACTGCATACTAGCCCTGCTGATTTGCATGTTGCTGAGTTTCAGAACAAGTCTGCAGTGTGCAGTCA